TCCTGCTGCAAGAAAAGGAATTACCAGACTCACCACAAGGTTTACAATCAGAAGCCCAGGCTTGTTTCTTCATTGCTTAGTGCAGTGATAAAAAATAAGAGATATTTTACAATATTTGTTATTTGGATATCAGCAGCATTTAAAGGCTGCATCAATGCAGCCAATGGCAAACATCATTCCCAGAAGTCCATCCCCACAGCAGAACCTGTTGTCCAAGAGGACCCACACAGCCCTGCAGGTGTGTTTCTGTGGACGGCAGAGGTGCTGCTGTGCTATCCCCAGGGCTCCCAGCACCCGACCACTCCCACAAAAAATTTGGGGTGGTGAAAAACATAATCCTGTGTTGGAAAGTCATCTACGTGATATGTCACATTAATATCAATTAACAGAGCAGGGTTACCATGGTAAGCAAAACACATGCTAAGCCAGGCACTGGCACCATGATAACCACCAGCTCTGACTTTACTGTAAACACAGATGCTTTTTCTGACAGTTCCTCTACCTGGAAGTGCTTCCTATACCAAGGCTTGCTACTTCCTTAGACCAATCTGCTTTCCTTCTATTCTGGACAGCACAGAGAGAAACATGCCACACTACCAGGGCTGCACCAAGTACTGCCTTCTAGTCCCAAGTATGTCTACACAAGAGATAACATTCAGCAGAAGCACAAAAGCCACAACAAAGAGTGGGTCAATGAGAAGCTGAGGAACATAGAAATAAATTTCTCTCCTATCCCCAGCAGCTGTTTCTGGAACAGGCTGTCCAGAGAGGTTGTGTAGTGTCCACCTCTGGGACACTGAGAACCCAACTGGACAGAGAAGTGAGCAACCTATTCTGAGTAGGTCTTCAGAGGTCCCTTCCAACCTCAACTGTTGTCTGGTTCTCTGATCCCTCTGCCCAGGCAGTGGTCCGTGACTACATCAGCTACAGAAACATTCATCCTGACTGCAAGCAAACTCTTCCTTCTGCTAATGCTGTTGATGAAAGCTTGTGTCTTCCCTGACCTTGAAGCTGTGTTATCTGCTTTGGCTGCAAGAAGGCGATAATAGCTCCTGACAATGGCAAGAGTCAGCTCTGAGCCGGTGGAACAGGAAATCCCATTTCTCAAGCCCTTCAAAGCCTGCCAGCCTGCCTGGCACAGTTTCTCTCAGCAGCACTCAGTGAGATTACAGCACTAAAAATAACCCACACAATAAGTTGTGCATTTAGAAGAAGAAAGGACTTGCCCTCAATGTGGGTTTCCCTTCCACTTGCGGCCTCAAGTATCCCCAGACAGTTGAACTGCTAGGGTTTTGTTCTCCAAATTAAACAGGAGCTGCAGCTGTTGAAGTGGTTTTAAATCAAATAAGAAGATTAAAGGGTACAACAAAGAGCTAAGATACTTTCCAGTTTTTAAACAACTGTCTCTCCTCCCTGTTGTTTTCTATAATAAGAAACTCAGAGTGAAATCCACTTCCTTCCCAAAACACTCTGCCCTTCTAACATGAGCTCACATACAATTGGTTGCACACACCTGAAATCAAACAAAGGTAGGGGGACCAGTCCTGCAGACTTCCATACAGGAAAACAATCCCCATGGGGATTCTGCTGCAGCATTTAAGAAAATGCCCAAGCCTTTTGGGTTAAATGCACTGTCCGAATCAGCAGGAAAAAAAGGCATGCCTCGTGATGTCAGGCACCAGAATAAGCAGTACTTGGACACCAGCCTTATGCAAGTTTTGCTGTCTTTGCAAACACCGGTTTGTAGGCTAGGCCTATGCCTCGTGTGAACCATTACAGCTCAGTCATTCGTATCAGATCACTTTCATTAAAGCAACCCGACTACTGAGGAAATGTTCATGCATCACTTGCCAGGCTCGGACAATTTACATTAGTGCTCTCAAACACAACTGACTTATTTCTCAGCCCCCAAACAGACTGTACACTGACACATGGCAAAGAGAATCACCTTCATGACTACAGGCTCAGCTGCTCATTTGATGCATATACACAATTTATTGCTTATATAGCACATGTCAGGTACTGGCTCAATTAATAACAGTTCACCTTGAGCACAAATACATTTCTCATGTATGCATGTATCTAAACAAAGTTAATATCCACATGTGTGCAGACAAACTAGAGTCTTACACACTTGCCTTTTCTTCAGTTTACACTCAGGTGGTCATATGCTGTGTTGTTTTACTCAGAGGAAATCAGACAGATGAACACTAAACATAGTAATTTTTTCACATACTGAGTCCAAGGGGCTGGGCTCTCCAAGAGAATCAGAGAGCTGCGGAGCTCAGAACCACAGCAAATGAAGGACAGGTGTCACAGCTCATGACATCTTCACAGCCATCACCTGGTAGGGGGGTTGGATGAGGGCAACAGCCACCATCTGACAGCAGAGATAATCCAACTACCTCAACCACAGAGGCATACCAAAATCCTCTGTGGCATTTATTGCTTGCCTTTGGATTTAAGCTACAAAATAGGAAGGGTGTTTTGCAGAGAACATTTTAAGTATAAAAAATGCACTCAGAAGCACAGACCCTCCCATGCGCTACAGGTGATAATGTAACACCATGTAGCTAGAGACTCTGTTACAACATGCCCAAACAAGAAGGCAGAATAAATGTGGGTAGGCCCTAAGCATGAGGTCCTTCACTTTGCAAACTCATTATTTTCCTCTTAAAGGTTTTGGAGACCATAATTAGCAATCATGGGGACGCTAACTGTGAATACTACTGGAGAGATAAAAAGATCATATAAGTTTGTGAACATTTCTGAAAACGTAGGAAGAGAGAGAGAACCAGACATAGAAGAAGCACACACCTGCTGCCACATGGCCGCATTATGCTCCAGCCCAGCACAGCCTTTCATTTGCAGAGCTGTAAATGATACACAGCTAGTTCCCAGTTCTGCATTTCCAGTGTTACAGAGATCAAATCCTGCAGCACTTATGATTCTCCTCATCTTTTGATATTTGTCAGCTTTTCCACTCCCCTCATGCTTCTGCTCCTCCCTCTCCTTTGGTTTTAGCCAACCAATAAATCCCCCCAAAGACCTTAAAAACACTGTGGCTTTCTCCTAGATAAGAGTGTATTTTGTATGAATAACACGCATGATATTGAAGCGATTCCACTCCTGTCCCCCTTTGCCCTTTCAGCACATTTGTGTCCCTCCTGCATCCACAGGATGCCATCTACAGCACAAGCCGTCACACCCTACCACAGCATCAGGTGCTAACACCAACCACCTGAGACACTGCCTGCCAGAACCACAACCTCCCAGGAAACAATCAGCTACAGCTGTGAGTCTTGCACCCTGCTGAGCCCTAACTGCAGCAGGAATGTCCTCGTGAGGGATCTCCTTTGTCACCCCTGCCTGGAAAACTTCAGCTTTATCAACATCTGTACTGCTCCAACACATTGCTCCAGAGGCTGATGCACACATCTGCAGAAGATGGCACAGGCCACAACCATCCCTATGACACCCCTGAAAGAGGACAGCTACTGTGATGCTCCTAGAAGTACACTAGGAAACACTTTTCCCACCAGTGTACACACCCTCCTTGCACACTACGTTTCACAAGGCTGCCCAGTGCGAGACGCTACTGCCTGCAGGCCCGGGAAACAAGCCTTTGGGGAGCAACCCCAGCTGCACCCCGCGGAGACAGGCTACATCCCATCTCCACAACAACGAGGTGGTGGGGTGGTGACTATTCGTCTTGCACACTCTAACAGGGCCTGCAAAAGGACACCACACCGTGCCCTCACTGGCAGCCGCCACGGTCCAGCCTGTCATGGTGGGAGGCTTCACGGGCCCCACCGACCCCAGGGCCGGCCCCGCCGCCCCCAGGGCCAACCCCGCCGCCCACGCCTCGGACCTGCTCCCCCGCAGCCGAGGAGGCGCCACGGAACCTTCCAGAGAGCGCCTCGCCGCTACGTCCTCCCCGCTCCTTCGCCCACAGCACAGCGCTGCCCTGCCCCCGGCCCGCCGCCGCCCCGCTCTCTCCCGCGGGCCTTACCTCCTCCCCTCCGCCGGGCCGGCCCTCCGGAGCAACCG